CCCATGGTCACTTCTAATTCTAATTATGCCACAATCCTTCTCTCTTTGAAGTTTTTGACAAAGTTCTTTGAACACTTCAAACACCTCAGACTTCTCTTTGATGAAATTCACCCAGGTGAATCTTGAGAAGTCATCAACCACAACATAAACATACCTCTTTCCTCCAAGACTTTCAACATGCATAAATCCCATCAAGTCCATATGAAGTAGCTCTAAAAATTTTGAAGTGGTCAGATGTTAAAGCTTCTTATGTGACATCCTTATCTGCTTTCCAATTTGACATTCATCACAGACTCTTCCTTCATCAATTTTCAGATTAGGAATACCTCTGACAGCTTCCTTTGATAATACTTCCTTCATTCCCTTCAAGTGTAAGTGGCCAAGTTTCTGATGCCACATCTTCACCTCATCTTCTTTTGAAATCAAGCAGATGTAGGAACACTTTGTTTCTAGAGGAGTCCACAAGTAACAATTATCCTTAGATATGGCTCCCTTCATGATAACTTCATATTTATCAATTGTCATCAGACACTCAGATTTAGTAAAGTTAACCTTGAGACCTTGGTCACATGGTTGACTAATACTTATCATATTAGCAGTCAGCCCTATGAAAACAACACCTTATCAAGACTAGGCTGCCCAGTATAGTCCAGCTTCCTAACACTCTTTATTTCACCTTTTGATCCATATCCAAAGGTGGCATAGTTAGTGGAATATGGTTTAATATCCACTAAAAATTTCTTGACACCAATCATGTGTCTAGAACAACCACTATCAAAGTACAAGTCTTATCTAGCAAAAGCTCTTAGAGAGGTGTATGCTATGAGACCAGGAGTGTTATTCTTGGGAATCCACTTCTTCTGTGTTTTAACAGCAGCCTATTTCCTTCTGGATTGAGTCGCATATTTGGGATAACCATGTAGCTTGTAGCAGTAAGGTTTTATGTGGCTAAACTTACCACAATGATGACATTTCCAATCTTGGTTCTTTCTTCCTGGGGAATTCTTCTGATGTCTTTGTTGATGTTGGATATCTTACTTGGCATCTTTCGATTCTGCTTTCTTTTGGGTTGAGGATAATTCATGGCAGGCCTTTTTCCTTTATTCTCAACTTGATCATTATAACCAAGCCCTTTAACATTTCCAGCATTCCTTCCTGATTGAAGAATTGCATCCAGCACATCAGAACTGTTATTGAGCATTCTTACAGATTTAGTCAAATTGTCAAGTTTAGAGTTGAGCAATACAAATTTATCCTCCAGGTCAGATATGACAGCCAAGTGCTTCAATCTTTCATCATGAAGTTGAAAAATATGATTATGTTAATCCTTTCCGAGTTGACATACTTCTGCACTTCTTATGCACAACTCCTTGTACGAGGCAGCCAGTTCATCAAAAGTGAGTTCTTCACTATCTGGTTCTTTATCAGAATCATATACTCCAGTAAGAGCAGAAACTTGTTTAGCATACTCTCCTTCACTTGAAGAATCATCTTCAGACCAAGATGCAGACAAGCCTTTCTTCTCCTTCTTGAGAAAGGCAGGACACTCAGCTTTTGTGTGTCCAAACCCTTAGTATTCATAGCATTGGATTCCCTTTCCTTTGTTAGATTTCTTATCATCGTTGGTTCTTCTTCCAAAATCCTTTCTTCTGTTGATGTCGGATGACTGAGTCTTAACATTTGATCTTGACTTCCCGTCCATCTTTTTCAACAGTTGGTTATATTGTTTTTCAAGAAGCACAATAGCCTTAGACAATTCTTCATTGGAATTTGGATCACATTCACCTTGATTAGACACCAAGACTATGCTTTTCTTATTTTCAAATTTCTCACTAATTGCTAATTCAAAATTCTGAAGAGATCCCATGAGTTCATTCATCTTTATGGTGTTTATGTCTTGGGCTTCTTCAATGGCAGTCACCTTCATGTCAAATTTCTTTGGAAGAGATCTTAGGATTTTTTGGACCAACTTAGTTTCTGGAATCTTTTCTCCTAGATCACTTGAAGTATTGGTTATATCAACAATGTTCATGTGAAAGTCTTGAATACTTTCATCCTCTTTCATCTTCAAGTTCTCAAACTTGGTTGTAAGAAGTTGAAATCTTGATTATTTCACCCTAGAGGTTCCTTCATGAGTAGTCTTCAAAATCTCCCAAGCATCTTTGGCAACAGTACAATTCTTTATCAATCTGAAGATGTTCTTGTCCACTCCATTGAATATGTCATTCAATGCTTTGGAATTACCCTGAGCTAGCTTGTCATCATTCTTGTCTTCCTCAGGCTTTATCATATCAGTAATCTTACCTTCCTGATCTTTAGCCTTTGGTGGATCTCATCCTTTGACTACAAATTTCTAAGCTTTACCATCCATGAACTTAATAAAGGCCACCATGCGCACTTTCCAATATTCATAAATGGATCCATCAAGGATGAATGGTCTGTTCAATATTGCTCATTCCTTGTCCATTGCACCAGAAAGTAACTTCCCTGAATCTCACCCAGATACAGAGCATGATGTCTGCTCTTATACCAATTGAAATTCTGGTATGCAGATCTCAGATGTTCTAAGAGATGTCGAGACACTTGATTTCTGCTTTAAACACAATGACAAGAAGGAGCACAATAAAAATTACAGAAAGTAAACAAACGCACAGTAATTGTTAACCCAGTTCGGTGTACAACAACACCTACGTCTGGGGGCTACCAAGCCAGAAATGAAATCCACTAGATAGTATTAATTCTAAGCCAAACAACCTCTGGTTTACAACTTATCACTTAATCACTACCCGTGCTTAATTTCTACCTAAGACTCTCCTAGGTATGAGACCCTTCTCAACTCCTTTTCAATCACAACAGTGACAAAAATTACAACTCAATGCAAACAGTCCAGCTCTAGTATCAACACGATATAAGAGAGACTAACAAATACACAAACCCTAAAACTCACTAAGCAACAATGTATTTTCCACACTTTGATTAGGTTAAATTCATCTTATTTATAATCATAAACTAGACTGGATTTGAGCTTCAAAAATGCAACAATTATGTTACACAGAATCTGCAACTTATTCTCCTCAAGAATAGTTTCTTCAATCCAAAGTTTCCTAAAACGTCTCCACAGTTAGAAAATGACATCTTCAAATTCAACTCGCTTCATCTCGACTCGACTCGTTAAAAATTGGTTCAGCTCAAATCTTGGTTCAAGTTCGACACGAAATTTTTGTAAGTTCAAACTCGACTCATTATAAGTTCACCAACAATTTTGTTCATCTCGTTAGATTCAACTCACTCGCTTCACAGACTTAAAAGTCACTTTTTTAAGTCTATTTTTTTTATATATTTAACATTTTAAATTAATATTTTTTTAAAAGAAAATATTGAAATAAAATTAAAATTAGAGATTAAAATTTAACTTTGTTTCAAAATCTATTAATTTAAAAACTACACAACTTTTAAGAGATACATTTGAAAGTATAATTCAAAAATCACTCAATTTGAGTTCAAATTTGTCTAAAAAATTCACAACTTCATCTAAATATTTAGAAATCTTATTTAATAAAATAGTACACCAAAAATTACTAGATATTGATACATTTCCATCACAAAATAATTATATCACTTGCAACCTTCATTACACATGTTATTTTATCAAATGGCATAATGCTTCCAACAAGGATGACTCTAAATGCAAATATTAGATTTACTATCATAACTAGTACGAAATGGACAATATAGAATTAAGATTTGGAATAAATCTTTAAACATACTCTTAAAGACAATATAATCATTGTCATATATAATCAAGACTCATGAACCTAACGAGTCGAGTTATGTATAATTCATGTTCAACTCATGTAGTTAACAAACTTAATTTTTCGCTCATATTCATCTCATTTGGTTCATGAACCTAGTTCAACGATTTAACTGTCGAATCGAATCCCAAACTATTTTCGAGTTTGTTTAGTTCATTGTCAGCCTAGTGTAAACCAAAGAAAAAAGGGAGACTATGAGTAAAGGTCCTTCGGTTGTTTAATCTTTTCCTTTTGACAAAGTGGAGATTGAGACTTCTTGTTCGGGACCCAGATCTTTTAAGATATATTCTAATAAATAGATACAGACCGCCTATTATTTCCTCTCTCGTTAAGGGAGGATTGAAGGTTTTCGTTCTAGTTATTCCTAGTAAAAAGGGGTGCCCTTTCATGGATCTAAAGTGGGTGATGCTTCAAATTAGTTTGTTGACGGTATTAATAAAATAATTGGATCGGATCTTCAAACTTTCAAACTGTCTTTAAGAAAGACCCTTGGTTAGGGATCATCCCTTTAAAGATTAAGTTCATTGTCTTATTCTCTATCTCACTTCATCCTGATAGGAAGGTGGGAGAGAGAGGTGTAATTGATAATTGGATTCTAAATTGGAACATGATTGAGATGGTGGTTTTGGTTGGTGCTCTCCAACGGTTGTTTTATTAGTTTTCTTCTGTTTGTTGTTAATATTGTTCTTTTGTTTGTGTTGTCTCTAATACTCCTTGAGCTTTGAGACAGACTTTGTTGTCCTTTGATATTTTCATCTTATAAATATATTTTTATTTGCAATTTATTAAAAAAAATTGACATTTGAGAACAATTTATTGGAGATATTCAATCAGTTCGTGACCTTGTACAAATCTAGGAGTTAAATGAGCAACTCAACCTACGTTGGCAAGGTTAGACATCGAGAAGATACATATAATAATATAGATAAAGTGAACTTAGCTTTTCTTTTCATCCAAATTATATATATACAATAAACTGAAATTGACTGCCTTAAACGAGAAACACATTAGAGGTTGTAGTGAGAAACAAATCAGAGGTTGAAGTTTTTAAGAACACAATAGGACGCAAAGGGCCTCTTTAAAGTTAAATAATTAGCACAAATAATCTATCATTTAAATGAGACAACTGCAAATGTTGTGACCCCATTTGACCTCAAGCTCTGCATATCTAACCAAGGATGTATTGCACTACCAACCTATGGAGTTCTTTGACTGCTGCAACTTCAAATTATAGGATTTTTCTATTTCTTCCTGCAATATTCATTATCAGCGACAGTTATGATAGATATATACTCCTGAATCTTATTCATATACTATTATCAAACTACTAAGAATAGAAGCATAAATATGCATGTATAAACATGATGAAACAAAAGAGTAAAAAGAAAACATGCATTTGAGCAGTTATTTTTCATCTATCAGAGTTTAATATAGAAACTAGTTAAAAATGAGCCATACCTTGCAGGCTTTCTGCAAAGGTTCCAAGAAAGAAGATCTGAAAAGCCTGACAGCATTTCCAAGCGAAGTTCCACTCCATTCTGCTACCAAACAACTTGCAATTAGCATTAGAAGATGTGTGGAGATAGCAATGAAAAGGTTTTGCAAAATGAGGATCTATGGGACCAGTATACTTTGTTTCTTGTTTTTAAATCCATAAAAAAACATTAGAAAATACATTCTAAATATTTTTAAATTTGTATTTTTAAAAAGTGAAAACAGATACAATACTAGTAGAAATTGGGAAAAATCTCTCTAGTAGGCTGTTCAACTTCTGTAACAATTTAGTGCAATAGCCTTCCTCCATCTATGGCATGTTCAAATTAAAATAAATAATTATTTTAGCAAATCAAACAGGATTGTTCAAGTATAAAATTAACATACCGCCATTAACATCAGCCCTCAAGCCTTCATTATTAAGCTCGTCCAGAAGCTGCAATGATACAGATTACAATATATCAAGATTCACATAAACATAAAATGTCTAGTAAACAGTAACTTAATAGAAGATATTGTTAGAATATAGCCAAACCAAATGGGAATTTATACCCATTATAGTTATGCCCAAAGTGATATATTAATTTTCAACATGATTTTATCATATTGGAGAAGGGGATAAGTGTCTTTATGCAAGTGCATCTTACTCCAAGTAATAAATGAAAACACCCCGGTTAAATCTGCAAATAATTTGAGCACGAGGGAGGCTTCCCTCTCAGTCATTGCAAATCATAAAAATTATTGTTGCATAATAAGTTTACCTGGAAAAGGGTGGGTACTGTAGTAGGATCAAACTCGTCACACCGGTTCGGGTCAATAGGGACACAGACACGACCTGGAACAAAATAGAATTACCAAATAATTATCATAGACAATCATATTAGCTAATGAACCTATCTGACTATTTTTAACAATAAAATTGACTTATTATTTCTATTTTCTATTCAAAAAATCATAAGCGAAAAATAGTGGTATATGAAGCCATCAAAAGTTTCACCATAGAAAACTCCAACAGCTTGTTTCAATATAAAAGCTGTGCATCATATTTAATACTAACCTGTTTTTGGATGTACACAAAACGGTGCTTTAAGCAAATGATTCATATGTTTTGAAACCTGAAACATAAATAGGATTGAAGGCACAAATTCAAACTACAAATAAATGTTGGTCTTCCATTTACGGAGACATGTGGGGAATTATGAATGTGTATATAAATGAAAATAGCCAAATAGCGTGAAAAATCATAGAGGATATGAGAAAAATGGGGCCAATAGATAGACTGACCTCCATATCTAGCCTGGGGTAAGTAAAGGAAAACACAATTTCTTCAACACATCTACGCAACCCCTGTGCCTACAAAAAGGATTGGAAGACATTAACAATAAATAGAAACTCAAAACAATGCTTGTTTCAGCCAATTTTGTATGATTTCCTGCAATGAATAGCACAATATGCAACCATCCTATATAGCATAAGCATGTGAGCAGTTTGTAGGTAAGAGCAAGAATTTCCATATAGTTAATATGAGGATTACAATAAATAGAAACTCAAAACAATGCTTGTTTCAGCCAATTTTGTATGATTTCCTGCAATGAATAGCACAATATGCAACCATCCTATATAGCATAAGCATGTGAGCAGTTTGTAGGTAAGAGCAAGAATTTCCATATAGTTAATATGAGGATTTAGATAAAATAAGAAGAATAAGGAATGTGATTATGGAGTAAAATAACTGAGGATAAACTGACACAAAAGACAAAATACTGACCCTGTTTATAGAGATACAAGACTACTCCGCTTAAATAAATAAGAAAATCAATATACAGATTATAACAATAACAAATATTGTAGAAATTAATCTGGAGATGTAATCTAAGATTAATGTAACATTAAAAACTTACCCTACCGCTACGTGATAAACTAAGACAATATTTCTTGAGTTCTAGGCTCATTTAATTGTTTTCGACTAGTTGTACAACTATTACAGAGAGAAGACGCCCTTGTTAGATTGAGATATTTTAAACTTTCCCAAAAGGAATATATTTTACCTTGTGTTTTCCAGATTGCAGCAACTGCTTGCACTGTTCCCATCGCACAACATTAATATCTTCTTTTGCACTAGAGGACCGTCTATTATCTTGCCATCTTCCCCTAAGTTCGGAAGCAATAGCTGCAAAGGTAAAACATGCACAGCATAAGATAATATCAGTAAAATGAAATAAAAAGGACCATACCAGGAGAACAAAATAATATAATGTACATTCATCAGGAATCATGCTTAGGATCTTCTCATATCTCTCCTCAGTAGCAAGTAAGTTTTGATTCGTAAGCAGTTTTTTCTCAAAATAGTCCTTGAGGACATTGGTGTACGATGTCCTGGAAATAGAAAGCACTGATTAGGATATGAAATAAGTATCAGAACGGAAAAAGAAAGTTAGTTAGTCATTCATCTTAAGACTTACGCCAAGAAAGGATGAAGAGCGCCACCAGTCAAAGAAACCTTCTTTTGACTATTTTCATTGCCCTAGACAAAAACATGAAATCAAAAAAAAATACAAGCATTGATAGACAGATCCAGATTAGGTGTAGTGGAGTGTATCTATCTATCTCTATCTTGTATATCATCTTTTTTTATGGAAAACACAATCGAAGGTTGAAAGTGTGTGAAAGATATATCCAATGGTTGACATTGTTGTGACTGCATCAACTATTGACTGCGCCTAATCCTAGTACTATACAAACCCACTACTTGTTACTAAGTATACCTTGTAAACACGATAATATTCAGCAATAGCAGATCTTTGCTCATTTGTCAACCTGCAATAGTAAAGTTAATAAATTGATACAATGCCTATGTTACTACATATAGGTTAAGGAAACATTAGAACTTTTGACAGTCTAGGATCTCACCTTCTTGCCTTCCCATCACACACCCAACAATGAACACCTCTACGTCCACTATAGACCCAGAGTATATGCTTAAAACCAAACTCATCTGAAACAGTAGTTCCAAAGCAGAAATCAACACCACAGTCGGTAACACTTGATGGAGAAGATTAAATTACTTAAATGTCAAATAACACTAATTTCATATATGGTGTACAATGAAATCAACGAACATTTAGGCTCAATATTATAAGTTAGTATTGATGATTTTACGGCAAGTTGAATATACTCTACACCCTTCCCCGTGTATTTTAACCATCTTAGTTTTAGTGAAGCATCTGAGGCCAGTACGTGCATCCAGTCAACTCTAACAGATATATTGGGCATTGATGAATTGAAGACATGTTTCCCAGCAACAACAATGATTCAGGTAAGTTGGATGCTGAAATATACACACAACACATCCTGCATCTATTGTCCTATCATAAATATTCAGATAGGAAACATGTATCTTTCTGCTTCGACACAGTAAATAATAAATATACAATGATGAAGAATGACCATATACAGTAAAAACACATCGGTAAGAATTGGGAAAATCATAGGTGAACCACATAAAGATGGAAATTACTACCTCTTAAGGAAGTATCAATCACTTTGATGGCTATGGTCATCAATGGCCAGCAATCCAAACAAACGTCAGCACCCTTGCAGCAGTATCTAATATCATCATAATCAGTCATATCCTAGAGTCCACCATGAAAGGAAAAAAAAAAGGATAACAAATGTCAAAAAAACCAAAGTATCTAAAGGTTTCAGATGGAGACTCAAGTCAGAAAAAACTTACTATATCAAAAATCAACTCCCTCTCAACTGGAGTGAAAACATTATTACCACCCTGTGCATAGGCATGCCTTTTTGCAGGCTGAACCACATAAAGAATGATTAGGCTGAAGCACCACCACTACTACTATTAATTAGTAAATGCAGCATGAATTATAACTAATAACGAATTATAGGGAAAGAGGAGAAATGTTACATCAACTGTGTAGACAGGTCCAATGTCAATCTTTAAGGGGCATTTGTCTTTGATGGAGTTTTCAAGTTCAACGGCATTGTTGTAAGATTGGAATCGCAGATAAATGTCACCTTTCAGAGTGAAGGAAAATTCCCTTCTTCCAAAGTAGGACTGATCACAACCGGGATGTTTCCCGTCTACAATAATTTTAAACCCACAAAAAATCAGGAATGCATACTCATTTTACATTCTCATCAAAAAAAAGTAAGAGTTTCATATATGCTACCATGGCCATAAGACATCCATTTAAAGATATCAGCAAAAGGAAACAGCTTTCCTGGTAAAAATAGTAGAAAAAATGAGTAAGCGGTTAAAACCCAAAAGAAATTACACTGATTATAATGGGAATTGGATGCAACTAACCATAATAAGGTTTAAGGGCACCGGAATCAAAGTCCAATTCTTGTTGAGGGTTCATTATTATGAAATTTGAAGATGATGTGGGAAATGAACGAAGAGAGAGTAAAGTGATGATCTACACGAAGACAAATCGAAGATCAGACAGCAAAAATCACGGCGTCAACAAGCAAAACTAACACAAAGTGAATCATGAAGCAATCGGAATCAAAAGGAACAAGAAGCAAAATCACAACAAAAAACAGCAAATGGGTCCAATATACCTGAGTTGCAGAGCGAGGAGAGAGAAGATTGCGACGATAATTGTGGAAGAATCCACTGTGTAAACCCTAAAATGTGGATGTGATGTTTTGCGCGCCAAAAACAACCCGCCACAAATTTCACATTTCCTAAACATAATAACTTTAAATTTAAGTAATTTTAATATACTAGTAGTTGTACCGGAAGAAAATTATTTCGTAGAAAAATTAATATAAAATAAATATATAATATATAATAAATAATTATATATTTAAAAAACTCTAGACATAATATAGTATATAATTTAAATATTAATAAAATAAATTTATTAGTGCTAGAATTTTTGTTTTTGACTAATGCTTATTTTATGATTTAAATATTAAGATAAATTCAAAAGGACTGGTTAATGGTTAATAAAAAATAAATAAGTAAGGTTAAAATAAATAAGATCTTAATTAATATAAACAAATAAATAATAAACAAATAAGTGATTACAATAATAATAAATATCAATTTAGTGAAAGAGAAAGTTATTTGCTAAATAACTAGATGAATATGAGAGTTAGCGGAAAAAAACAATTTTATTAAATAATTAATAAAATAAAATAAAAATGAATATAAAAAATTTAGTAAAATAATAATAAATATAAAAATATCCTATAATTCATCTTTCATTATCATAAAGATGGCAATATTAAATACTTGGCTTAATGCACCCTTTGGTCCCTTAACTTAATTTGTGTTTTCAGTTTAGTCCCTTATGTAATAAACGTTGGTGTCAGATCCTTTAATTGTGATTTCGTTAATCAATGTGATCTTTTTTGTTAAAATGTGTGTATTTATATTAGTTGTTGCTAGGGTGGCATTTTAGCTGGCTTTCTTAACGTGACATGGATTTATGGTTTGACACTTTGATTAAAAAAACATCAGAATTTTCAACGTTTCATTTTATTCTTTTTTACTTCATTTTCAACGTTTCATTTTATCTCTTTGTTGGAAACCCTAACGAAACAACCATTAGCATCCATCTTCGTTCGTGTGGCTATCATCACTCTTCATTTTCGTTTGTCAATGTATGGTTATCATACATTTTCGTCCGTTCATCATTCTTCATCTTCAGTTTGGAATCTCTCATTTTTGTTCTTCTTCATTTTAGGGTTTATGTATTATTTGATTCTGAGTGAAAGAGGAACAAGGTCCATCATCTGTTTTGAGGTACGAATGATGCAAACTTTATATTCTTCCCCTTCATATATTTTAGTTTTCATTTAGGGTTTTTCATCTGCGTTAGCTTTGAATCTCATTTTTGTTGTTCTTCATTATAGGGTTTGTGTACTATTTGATTTTGCGTGAAAGAGAAACAAGGTACATCATCTGTTTTGAGGTACGAATGATGCAAACTTTATATTCTTCCAATTCATTTATTTTAGTTCTCATTTAGGGTTTTATGTAGTTGTTGTATCTAGGTCATGGAGAGTCGTTATAAATGTGTTGTTCATCATAGGGGTGAATTTGTTGAGTTAAAGAAACTAGGTTATAATGGGTTAGAGGAAACGTGGGATGTTGAGCCTGATTTTTGAAGTTACTTTGAAGTGTTAGGTGGGTTAAAGGATTTAGGTTATCCAACTATAGAGAGTCTTTAGTATTATGATCAAATGGAGTGTAATAGCATTATGGAGTTAAAAGATGACAATGGGACTAGGAGGATGCATACAATTGTTGTGTTGACTAGGGAAGTTCATTTATATGTTATACATCATATCCTACAACCTGAGGTAATTGAGGAACCAATACTATCACTTGAGTATAGGGTTGAGGAAAGAGGAAAGGAAAGGGTAAAGGAAAGGGGAAAGGAAAGGGTAAACCAAAGGGAAAAGAAAAAGTTGGAAGGCCATATAAGAATGTTAATGTGTGTGAAGCATCTAGTGAAAGGAGTCTTTTGGATGAAAGTGATGTAGAGGAAGAACAACCAACTTTAAATTTGAAGGGTTTTAGTGACATAGAGGATAAAAATAGCGAGGATGGCTTGGAAGAGTATATTAGTGAGGATGAATGTGTTGGAAAGGCAAATTGGCAAACATTCAAACTGCCTAAAAAGATGGATGACTATAAGTGGGAATTGGGGACATACTTTGCTTCTAAATAAGATTTTAAGGATTGTATTAGGACATATGCCATACACAGTGGTAGGAACATGAAGTTCAATAAAAATGACAAGAAAATGATGTGAGTGATATGTAAAAAAGGTTGTCCATGGGAGGCATATTGTGCAAAAATTCAGGATGAAGAAACTTGGCAGCTCAGGAAGATTGTTGATAGACACACATGTAGTAGAGATTACAAGGTGGATTTTCTCACATCCAAATGGCTAAGCACTAAGATACAAGGCTGTTAATTTAGAAGCATTCAAGCATTTAACAAAGTTATCTGCTAGGTTTTGGATCCAAGGCTTTCTTCAAAACCAATTCCTTGTGTGATACCCTAGTGAACAACACGTCAAAGGCTTTCAACTCGGTGTTTGGGATAGCTAGGTCCAAGCCAATCATAACAATGATTGAAGAAATCAGAGTATATCTCATGCAAAGATGGGAGTCAAACAGACAAAAAATTGCCAAGTTTGAAGGTGATATTATATTCAATATCAAGAAAAAGATTGCAAAAGAATCTGAAAAAACAAACAACTGGATTTTGTGAGGTATTTGTTCATCTAAATGTTTGTTTTACACTTCTTGATTATGTTGTGTGGCTGAGTTTTTATCTATGTAACAGGAGTGCAGGAGAGTACGACTGTGAGGTGAGACACATCTCATATAATGGAGAAAAATATATTGTGAATCTATCAACCAAGGTGTGTTCTTGCAGAAAATGGATGTTGAAAGGCTTACCATGTTGCCATGTTATATCTTGCATGAAATCTCAAAAATTGGAGATTGAAAGCTATATGCCTGAGTGATACAAGAAACAAATGTATGAAGCATGTTATGCATCTTTCATTTTTCCAGTCAATGGGAATCACTTTGGAAGAAAATAGGTTATGTTGAGTTACAACCACCACCGATCAAAAGGCAATCAAGGAGGCCAAAGAAGAAGAGGATTAGAGATTCCTCATAGAGCATAAGGGATGACACTCAGCTAAAAAGAGCTAATTTTGACATCAAGTGCAGTAGATGCCACATGATGGGGTACAACAAAGCAACTTGCAAACATCCAGGTCTAAGTCAGACCACTCAACCTGAACCAAGTCAGTCTGGTCCAACTCAGCCTGAGCATCTTGTAACACCCTTTTTTACCCCAAAAATAATGGAAAATCATTCACATTCATCAGAGTAATATTTTAAACATAATAAAAATCACCTCAAATGACGTACATTTCTCAATAATTCAAATCAAAGTCAATGCTCCGTAAACAACGGGTTTTCCCAAAATTGCTCAAAAGGCTGCGGAACTCAAAAAGGCAAAATCCAAAGTTTTCCTTACGCAACAACATAATCAAAATAGCAATAATCAATAAAACATGGTTTAACTCAAAGACCCCAACCCGATGTTACACTAACAGAGCAAGACCCTCCAAGTCAACCAAAAGTCAAAAACTCCAAAAAAATCTTCGATGACATCCACGGCTAAACCTGGTCATCTGCATGTTACCCACGTGGAGACAACATTCAAATAGGCGGGGTGAGTAAAACGATTCATAATAATCAATATATGTATCAATATATAAAATAGCGTCATTTCTGTATTCAACGTCATCATAATCATCAAGGAAACATAAAAAAGCCATAATATCATAAATTGCACCAAATTGTCACATAAATGCAAATGCAACAAGACTCATGCATGTGGTACCAATTCATCAAAGTTCGATGGACACTGAGCTATCAACCCTCCATAAATCCCCATCAATAGGATCACTTTTACACCAGAACCGGAGCATAAAAAAATACTTCACATCCGCACAATGGGACTTAAGCCACAAGAATCAGACACCAGACCGAAGTCCGGAATGCATATGAATGCATGATGCACACGTCAATATCATCCTCATAATAAACTTATTAGGTGCATCATCATTCATCAAAATCATCATAATAATCATCTCATCATATAATCATCAAAAACTCATGGAATCAACATCATAACTCATCATCATTACTCATAGGAATCATCATAAAATCATGTATTAATCACATATGAATCATAGTCATACTCAAGGTAATTCATCCAGAAAATCACAACATCAAAGCATCGAGACAACACTGCACAAGAACACAATTCACGAAACTCTGCTACGTTTGCTGGATAGTTCGTCGTACGAGTCTGAGGCGAGTGTTCACCGTGCGAAGGATCACTTGTTGTGCGAACTCGCGATTATAACAAAACGCTGTTACGCACCAGCACCAAAACCATCCCCCAAAGTCCCTACGATTTCCTTCCCTCAATGCCCCAAAAATATCCCTAAATCATTCCTAAGGTATTACGGCGATAAAGACACAAAATCTACGACTTATTAGGCCAATCTCGTATCATATTTACGCCTCCAATTCTCATAAAATCCTTACAATTTTCTCACATTCATTAGAGTTCTCATAATCAATTACCCTATACGGTTAAAACCTCAACGACAGATTTTGGCCACGAAGGCATAATTTCCCTTACTCCCAAATCAGCCTCAAACCTATCAGGCCATCAATTCAAATCCCTCAAACTCATTAAACTCACCAGAAAGGAAACAACAATCCAATACTCAAAATCCCTAAACCCTTAAATCAGCTTTAAACACATTGAATCATATATTGAAAATAATAAAAGTAATACTCCCCA